TCGGCATGTAAATTCCTTAGACAAGGCACTGCCGCTCAAAAACGCTCAACACCGATAAGTGTGATTATTACTGTCTGATGGGGCAATGTGAGGAGGCTACAAACTAATATAAAAGCATGGGTCGGATGGCCTATTATTTTTTCTTTAGTTCCCCCCCCCCCAAAAAAAATCATGGTGTCAGGGCTGTGATGAAAAATAAGTGGTCTAAATCCGGTGAGAAAACAGGATTTGGAGGTACCCTAGGTTTGGCTCCTGCAGGCTCTGCCCCCCCCCCCCAGTGAAAATTCCTTAGACGAGGCCCTGCTTCGGGGTGCCTCTGAGGCCTAAAGTACAGGGGCGCCCACATGCAAAATGGGCGCCCATAAAGGCCATAATGGCGCCTCAATACGAAAGAGGGGAGACTGCATGCCAAAAGGGGCGCCTCTGGGGCCCATTAAAAGAGGAGCTCCTGTGAATCCCAAAGGAGTGCCTCAATGGGAATTAGGGGCGCCTGTAAGGCCTCTGATAGCCCTAAGGCGGCTACATGCGAAAGAGAAGCACTCCTCTGGCCAATACCTTGTCATCATTGTTGCTAGAACGGCGCCCTTAGTCCGTACACTGCCCCATTGCACACAGCCGCTATTTGAGTTCGGAAGTGGCCAAAATGCGATAACTCATTAACCAGTTGACATTTTGCCAAGGAATTTTTTTCACTTAAGTGACGTGAAGATATAAAATCGGACAAGAGACAACGCAGGAAACAATAAGAAACAGAAGAGGAGCCGGTACGAAATTAAACGACGCAAATAAATGGACCGACTACAGAAGCATTACCTCCCAGATGCCCTATCTCGGGCGCCGGTGGAGCAACCGAGCCCTGAAGACGAGGAAGCAGAGCGAGAGGTCGTGCACCAGACAAGAAGCACGCTCTTGGCTCGAATAAGAAATGAAGAGGACGGTGACGAGACGACAGCTTCCCCGATGCAAGACATCATCCTGGAGAAAGTGAGGGAAGCCAGCAGAACAGACGAGACGTACCAGAAGGTGGCAGAAACAGTTATGAACGGATTCCCTGAACACAAGGCGGGCCTCCCTAGCCTGGTCCGCCCCTACTGGTGCGTTCGCGAGCGGCTATCGATCGACGACGGCCTGCTCGTCTGTGGAGCACGTCTCGTCATCCCACACAGTCTACGACGTGAAGTACTGGAACGTCTACATGACAGTCACCAGGGCGTAGACCGAACTAAGCGACGCGCCAGACAGTCAGTGTACTGGCCCAACATCGACCAAGACATCAGTAACGTCGTGTCGGCGTGTGCAGCCTGCCATGCGAGACTTCCCAGCCTGCCAAAGGAACCCCTCTTGACAGATCCCCGTCCAACGAGAGTCTTCCAGTCCGCGATAGGCGTTATCACAAGTGTATTCGCGGCCATTGGGGCGACGTAAGAAAAGAAGAAAACAACTGGCCCCAAGAACTTTAAATTATCAGTTAGCATGCACCTTTTCCTTGATATGTAGAGAATTTACCATTAATTGTTAGAGAAAATTGCATTTAAAATCTTCCATTTATGCTTTTTCTAGGATCAACACTAACACGATATTGGTGATCAGCACCCCGAAAAAGCTCAGCCACACTTACGACGCTCTAACAGGTCCCAATTTTCCCGAGTTTTGGGTCATTGACCTGACCTGGAAGGTCAAACATGAGCCAATGACCTAGGACCTTAAATTGGGTATCATCGTCTTCCTCTCGTCACAGGCAGCACGCTCGTTTTTTTTTCTCGCGAAGCTCTAGCTCGATCAGCGGCCAAACGGCTATGGGGACAACGGACCCCCCCCCCACCCCCACCCCCATACGTTCGCGGCTGACAAAACGCCAATACGGGAGAGGTTTAAATCCATATACTTTCAGGTATGAGACAAGAAAGCTACTGGTTAATAGTGTTAATGAACAATGAAGAAGCTTCAGCTATTAAAAAGCTTATGAAATTTCTCAAGCTTAAGTTGATTATACTCAGTGTTGTTATGATCATTCCTCAGTTTTCTGACAAGAATCACACATTTGGCCATGGTAAACGTTAAAAATACCTTTTTCTTTAAAAAAGTGCCCAATGACAATCTTATTTTCCAACAAATTTGCAATTAAAACCAACCAGTACACAATACAGAATACGTGCCTATGAATGCGAATAACAATGTGGTATCATGTCGATTTTTCCTACATGTTAACCCTCGCCGGCACAGGCCATTTTGACTCTGGTTGGCAGAGTTTTTCACGTTTGCCCCAAGGTCACTCAATCATCAAAGCAATATTTAAGTTTTTCAGCATAGGAACTTTGAGAATGTTTATTTTTTAGTTTTCTTGACTTATGTCTTGGGGGGGGGGGCAAAAGATAGTATGGCCCCCCTTTGACCGTCTTGGGGGAGGTCATGGCCCCGTTGGCCCCCCCTTGGATCCGCCCCTGAATTCTAGTTTAAGCGGCGCATTAGCGAGGTGGGTTCAATCAACACCCTCAGCCGGGGCAAATGCAGGGGCGGATCTAGGAAAACTCCAAGGGGAGGGTCATGAATCGAAGTGGTGCCCCTACCTATACCCAAAATTAAAAACTCAACGGATTTCGTCCACTTCATTTTGGTGGTGCCCCCATTTTCAGTTTTTTCTTTTTCTTTTTTATCTTTAGTCAGTATCTTAACTCTTAGCCACAACCACATTTACCAATTGTAAGCAAGTATACCTATATGAATGTGCTATGTGTATATATGTTGTGGACGCTGAGTTGTGAGTACTTACCAGGAACGTTATCAGGTAAGCAAATCGTTGTCAGTCCGACGAACTTGACCCTGGCGTCTAAAGGGTCTGCCCTTGACACTTCAGGCTTGTCAGGGGCACCAAAGTCCTTCCAGGGACACCACAAAGCTGTCAGGGGCACCTACGGCCTTGTAGGGGCGCCACAGGCCCGCCAGGGGCACCACAGGCCTGCCAGGAAGCAGGGGCACCACAGGTCTAGCAAGTATACACGACAGGCCTGTCAGGGGCACAACGGGCCTGTTGGGCCCATGAGCACCCCTAGGGGCAGGGGCACCACAGTCCTTCCAGGGGCACCGCAGGCCTGTGAGGGGCACCAGCGGCCTAGCAGGGGCACCAGTAAACACAGACCTGCCAGGGGCACCACAGACCTGCCAGGGGCACCAGAGGCCTGCCAGGAGCACCACCGACCTCGCAGGGGTAACTTGGGCCTGTCAGGGCCCAGGGGCACCACGAGCCTGTCGAGAGGCACTTCAGGCTTTTCAGGGGCACCATAGTCCTCTCCGGGCGCAGGGGCACCAGAGGCCTGCTGCCAGGGGCACTACAGGCCTAGCAAGGGCACCACTGGTCTATCATCAGGGGCACCACGAGCCTGTCATAGCCAGGCATCTCAGGCTTGTCAAGGCCCAGGGGCACCACAGGTCTGTGAGGGGCACCAGCGACCTAGCAGGGGCACCAGTCAACACAGGTCTGCCAGGGGCGCCACAGACCTGCCAGGGGCACCAGAGGTCTGCCAGGGGCACCACCGGCCTCGCAGGGGCACCTTGGGCCTGTCAGGGGCACCACGGGCCTGCCGAGGGGCACTTCAGACTTTTCAGGGGCACCAGTCCTCTCCGAGCGCAGGGGCACCAGACGCCTGCCAGGGGCACCAGCGGCCTAGCAAGGGCACCAGAGGCCTGCCAGGGGCACCACAGGCCTAACAAGGGCACCACGGGCCTGTCAGGGGCACCTCAGGCTTGTCAGGGCCCAGGGACACCACAGTCCTTCCAAGGGCACCGGAAGCCTGTCAGGGGCACCAGAGGCCTGCCAGGGACACCACAGGCCTAGCAAGGGCACCACTGGCCTGTCAGGGGCACCTCAGGCTTGTCAGGGCCCAGGGGCACCACAGTCCTTCCAGGGGCATTACAAGTCTGTCAGGGGCACCAGAGGCCTAGCAAGGGCACCACAGGCCTGCCATGGACACCACAGGCCTGCCAGGGGTACCACCGGCCTTGCAGAGGCGCCTCAGGCCTGTCAGGGGCACCACGTGCCTGCCGGGGACACTTCAGGCTTGTCAGGGGCGTTACAGTCCTGTCAGGGCCCAGGGGCACCAGGCCCGTGGTGTCCCTGCTAGGCCTGTGGTGCCCCTGGCGGTCCTGTGGTGCCCCTCTCAGGACTGTGATACCCCTGATAGGCCGGTGGTGCCCCTGGCAGGTCTTTGGGCCCCCGGGCCTCAAGGGGGGGGCATGACCCATGTGACCCCCCCCCTTGGATCCGCCACTGGGCAAATGTAGGTCCGGCGAGTAGATTTGAGGAATTCTGAAGATACGATCGTGTTCCCCACTCAATTCTGCGTAAGATGCCGGGTTCCGTATCGACGTAACTTGAACGTAACGGATGCGGCGGCCGCAAACGTAAATCGAGGTCCCGAATTCCCTATTCCTCAACACAGGCGGCAGACGGTTCCTGGTCTGCGCAATATGGCTGCCACCGTTAGACACTACGGCCGGGTTGAAGCGGCAGTGCTCCCTTGGTGCTCCCCATCACTGGTGGTGGCCTCTTATACCATTCACTCAATATACCCAGGGGGGCGACACGGCTATTCGCGCAATGTATTAATTTATGGGCCGCGCGGGGCCTCGCGATGACGCGGCTGGAGGCAACTGCTCAGCGCGCTAGGATACTTCTGGCGGGGCGGGGCGCTGAACGGTGTGCAATGAATGGGTTATGGTTGTAACATCCAGGCTCAGCACGGACCTTTATTGGCACCGGTCCAACTCCAGACTGCCGGCCGCCGCTCCGGCCCGGCGGTCGGCACGCTCACACCGCCACTCAGCTGACCCAGCGCCCCGGGTCATAGACCGCAGTCAGGGGCCTACAATCAAGCCGGCCCAGTGACACTCAAACCATCACATTACCTCCCTCCAAAAAAAAAAACAACAAACAAACCACAAACACCATTCCTGGCTCAGTAACGAAAAGAACACAACAGCTACACAGAAGTCTCGAGTGTTCATTAACACATATCTACCCAGCACCGGGTCTGTAGTAGTCCGGCTTGCGTCGTTCACGCTGTGATCGACGCAGTGTGACCGACGGAACACCTTCCGCTCTCTCTAGTGAGCCCGACAGCCCTCGGGACACCAAAGAATCCCGAGTCACGCCCGTGGCAGTCCCTTCACTCAAAGTCTGACTCTGATCACCTGTACACGCGCGCGCACTCGAAGTCTGATCACCCGCACACACGCACGCACCAGAGGGGAGACGAGCAGCCGGAGACGACTGTACTCCGGGACTCTCCGAGCTCTGCTCAGGCTGGCCGGCGTCAGCCGCCGGTCTCCGGTCCGAGATCACCACGGGATCCTCCTGCTGATCGTCCTCCAGCCAACTCTCGTCCGGCTCGCCACCCGACAGGTCCCGCCTCTCCCGCAGCCGTCCGAAGTCGCAGACGTCCGTCTCCGTGCGATTCTTCGGAGCAGAGTCGCCCGCAGACCGCAGCTGATCGAAGTGACGGCGCCACAGTCGACCATCGTCCAGCCGGACCTCCGCCATCGTTGCACCGAGGAGAGAGACGACCACTCCGGGCGACCAAACCGGTCCGCTCCCGAAGCCTCTGGCGTAGACTCTGTCGGACACCTGAAATTGACGGCCTTTAGTACGCATATCATAGTACTCTTTCTGTCTATCCTTCTGCTGCTCTACAGTCCGTTCCAAGTCCGGTTTGAGAAGTTGCAGTCTCGTCTTTAACTCTCGACCGAACATCATAGACGCAGGCGTTACCCCCGTTGTTGCATTGGGTGTTGAATGGCAGCTGATCAGCCATTTAGCAAGTTTGACGGACATGGTTCCGGAAGTGGATCTTTGAAGCGCATACTTTACTTCCTTGACGTACCTTTCCGCCAACCCGTTACTTGCCGGCCTGTGAGGAGCCGTCCTCACATGACGGATGCCGTTCCTCCTCGTGAACCGCTGGAACTCCTCCCCGATGAAGGCCGGACCGTTGTCCGAGACGATGGTGTCCGGGAGGCCGAACCTGCAGCACAGCAAACGAAGAGCATCCACGGTAACAGCGCTGGACGTAGAAGTCGTCAACACAACCTCCACCCATTTCGATGTTGCATCAACGACCACCAGTACATACTTCCCATTCACAGGCCCGCCGTAATCGACATGAATTCGCGACCAAATTTTTCTCGGCCAATTCCACTGATGTAGCTCGTTTCTTACAGGATGGGGCCTGGTTTGTTGGCACCCATCGCAAGAGCGCACGAATCGCTCGATGTCTCCATCTATATGAGTCCACCACACACATGTTCTCGCCACAGCTTTCATCCGACTCACCCCAGGGTGTCCTTCATGTAGCTCGTGTAAAACGTGCTTCTGTGCCTTGGCAGGCACGACCACGCGGCTGCCCCACAGCAGCACTCCGCGGATCACCGACAGCTCATCTCTCCTGTGGAAGAATGAGCGGATGTCCTCCTCGTCAGGCCACTCACCAGTCTCTATGGCCTGCCGCACCCGACTCAGCAGAGTGTCCCGAGACGTCAGCGCAGCAATCCGGGAGGAGTCCAATGCAAACTCCTCCTCCAAGCTCTGCAACAAACACACCATCTCAGACACCTCATGGTCACGCTCCTTCGAGACGGGAAGGGGTAATCTGCTGAGACCATCGGCATGTCCTATCTGCGTCGTTGATCTGTACTGAATCGTGTAATTGTACGCGGATAACCGTAGCGCCCATCTCGAAATCCTTGCGGATGCTGTTGCCGGAATCCCTTCATGCTCACCGAACAGTTTGACCAGTGGCTTGTGGTCAGTCACCAAAATGAATTTGTCATTTCCAAACAAATACTGGTGAAACTTCGTGACGCCAAACACCAAGGCCAACGCCTCCCTCTCAATTTGGCTCATTTTCTGCTCAGCTTTGGATAGTGATCGTGAAACAAACCCCACTGGCTTCTCGGACCCATCCCTGTATCTGTGTGAGAGCACTGAGCCAATGCCAACAGAGGATGCGTCACAAGTGAGCACAAGAGGAACGGTTGGATCAAAATGCGCCAGCACTCGTTCCGACGTTATCAACGTTTTTGCCTCATTGAAAGCACTCTGCTGCTTTGGTCCCCAGACCCACAAAGCATCCTTTTTCAAAAGCTCATGCAATGGTGACAGTACCTCAGATCGGTTTGGTAGAAAACGAGCATAGTAATTCAGAATGCCCAAGAAACTTTTCAGCTCTGACACGTTTTTGGGACTTGGCGCAGAGTGGATGGCTCTCACCTTCGCCTCTGTGGGGTGACAGCCCTCAGCGTCGATCCTGTGCCCCAGGTACTCCACGCTGTCCACGCAGAATTTGCACTTCTTCTCCGACACACGGAGTCCGGCATCTTGCAGCTTCTCCAACACCGCAGATGTGCGCTGTAAGCAGTCGTTCTGGGATTTCCCAGTAATGAGCACATCATCTAGGAAAACACAGACACCAGGCATACCATTCAACAACTTCTCCATCTCTCGCTGAAACAACGCCACCGCCGAGTTGACACCGAAGCCCAGGCGTCGATACCTGAGAGGTCCAAGGTGAGTGTTAATCGTCAGGACATCTCTGCAGTCTTCATCCACCACGCACTGCTGGTAGGCCTGGCTCAGATCGAGTTTGGTGAAGACTTTGCCTCCCGCCAGTGAGGCAAAGAGATCTTCTATCCTTGGAAGTGGGTATTTGTCAACACGAATGGCACGATTTGCTGTCAGCTTGAAATTCCCACAGATTCTGACACTGCCGTCTGACTTTAACACCGGTACAATCGGAGCACCCCAAGCTGCATGTCCAACTGGTTCAAGCACACCCATGTCAATCTCTCGCTTGAGCTGCTCATCGACCCTTTTCTTCAATGCAAAAGGTAGCGGCCTCGGTTTATAAAACTTGGGAGCCACACTACTGTCAATGTCTAGTTTAACTTTCACCCCCTTGAGCTCACCCAGGCCTGGTCTGAACACTTCAGCGTATTTCTCTTTCAGAGCCGTGACAGCATCACTTCCACTCACCGAGAAGATGTTGAACCAGTCCAGCTTCAGGTTCCCAAGCCAGTCGCGCCCGAGGAGGTTTGGTCCATCTCCTCCAATCCAACCACCACCAGTGGAAGCCATCTCGCCTGGTTGTTGTACTTCACGTCCGCGATGAATTCACCCACGACCGGAATCTTGGCTCCAGTGTAGGTTCTGAGGACAGACTTTGGCTTCTTCAACTCAGGAGTCGGATGTATCTCCTGAAACGTCTTCACATTCAAAAGCGAGACAGCCGAGCCCGTGTCAACCTCCATTTGTATGACTGTGCCCTCGACATCAACATCAACAATGACCGGCTGAGACGCATTTTGAACGGCGTTGACTACGGTATGAATCCTATCTGAATCAGAATCAGACTCGTGTCAGAAATGGGCGGGTCCCTTTCCACCAGCCTGGTTGTCTGGGAGGGTCCCTTTCCACCAGCCTGGTTGTCTGGGACCAGGCCCACTCGTCGGGTTTGAGACTGTTCTCCGCTCCCTCTGGGGACTGCACAACGGCGTGCTAAATGTCCAATTTTTCCACAATTGAAACATTTGAAGCTGGCGTAGCGACATGTTTGGGCCGGATGAGAACGGCCACAGCGGTGGCATGGCTTACCGCGACTGCGTTGGCCGGCGTGCACTTCATTGATCCCACCCGGCGTCACGTCCCGACCCGGCACAGAGATCTCGTTGACGGTGCTCTCCTGTCCTCCGATGATCCTGGCGTCCCTGGAAGCCGCTTCTAGTGACAGACAAATCCGGTTAGCCTGAGAAAACGTCAGTGTCTCTTCCGACAACAACTTCCTTTGCATCTGAGCATCATTCACTCCACATACCAAACGATCTCTCAACATCTCATTCAGGGTCTCTCCAAAAGAACAGTGCTCAGTCAGCTTCCTCAGCTCAGCAACATACTCTGCTACTGACTGGCCCTCCTTTCTACAGCACGTGTTAAATTTGAATCGAGCCACAGTCACAGACGTTCGAGGTTTCAAGTGACCATTGAGCAAAGTCACAATTTCTGTGTACGATTTGTCACCGACTTTGCCTGGCGACACCAAACTCCGTAACACAGAATAGGTATCCTTACCGCATTGTGAAAGCAGGTAGGACTTCTTCTTGCCATTGTCAGTCACATTTCTTGCATCCAAGTAAAACTCAAATCTCTCGAACCACTCTTCCCACACATCTTCGCGTAAATCAAATGGGGCTAAACTGAAGCCTTCAGCCATCTTCCATAGCACGATATTCACCTCGTCGCCAATTGTAACATCCAGGCTCAGCACGGACCTTTATTGGCACCGGTCCAACTCCAGACTGCCGGCCGCCGCTCCGGCCCGGCGGTCGGCACGCTCACACCGCCACTCAGCTGACCCAGCGCCCCGGGTCATAGACCGCAGTCAGGGGCCTACAATCAAGCCGGCCCAGTGACACTCAAACCATCACAATGGTCGGGCCGACAGAGATGAGGTATTGAATTTGAATTGACATCAGCAATCGGGTGGGGAAGGAGAACGTTCCTAATCGAGCTTGGGTTGGGGAAAGCCGAAAATATCGCGATCGGCTCATAGCTCAGACAGGGCCGGGTGCCGTACCATGTGTTGTATACATATTTAGGCGGGCAGACAGAGATGAGTTATTGGATTTAAATTCACCTTACCATCGGTTTCTGGTGGGGTTTGAAAATGGTTTTAGTCAAGCTCGGAGTGGGGCAACCCACTGGCGGATCCAGGGGAAGGCATTTGGGGCAAATGTCTTCCCCCACATTGGCAGCGCCCGAAATCGCTTTTCGAGAATCAAAGAAAACTTCACAACTTTTCTGAGGAAATGTTGGTCAATCACACTGCACAGCAGTGCGCAAGGAATCGAAATCAGAGTTTTTTTTTTTAAATTAATTCCGAGAAACCTTTTTGGGGTAAGCCCCCGCAGTGTCCAAGACCGCTTCCTGGATCCGCCAGTTGTGAATAAGTCACGGTCGATACCGAGCTTCGGCGGGACCAGGCGCTGTATACGTTGTTCTTTCAATGAAGAGGTGGACAGACACCTAGCCCCACATCCTACTGCTATGCCCGTGCTTCTGTGGGTGAAGCACTAAAGCATCACGGAATCCCACAGGACCTGCGAGTCGACGAAGTGGGCCGCTTTGGCCGCCGGGTACTGCAGCTCCCTGGAGTTGCCTGGGACCGATGGCAAAACAACAGCTCCGGCGGTGCCCCTATGGGCCGTAGTAATTAGCGAATTCCTGTAATGTAGAGATCATATCCTCAATAATCTCCATTACCATTTTATATTCCTAAACAGTATGACAGAACAATTATGCTTGCCTACGTTCAGGCATTACCTCTGATGGTCATACGTCCAGTACAACATGTGTTGTCTGTCAAACAACAATCGACGACGGGATCTCTTCTCATTATCTCTTAAGCCATCGGTTGTCAATTCACCCACCCCGTTTCCCTAAAAATAGACGGTCAGATTCGGCCTGGGTCGTTACGACCCCTCTAGATTCGCCAGAGACGGGATCGGATCGCCGTTATTGCACCCGTCTTAGTGTGCACCCGTCCGTGGTCTATGACAGCTTCGACCACGGACTTCGGACGGGGTGATCGTTCCACGAATGTAGGTACGAACCATCCAGGCCTAGAGTGCATCGAGGTTTAAAAGAATGCAGTCTGTAGATCAATAAACATAACAATGGTGGTATACAACCACATTAAAATATCTCCCCGGCTCCCGCAACGTTCCAACGCCCCTCCGTTATGCATTCGCCTTGTGTGTCCGCCGAGCCGGCTTGCCTCCAATGACGTCATCGGCCGGCCGGCGGCGTTCAAGGTCAAACGGCTGGTGTCCTTACCTGGAGTTCTATAGCCTTGAATATACCCTGTCTTATACGGCCTTGGTGGTGGCGTCGGTGGGGTTAGCGGCGAGGAGTGGCGATAGGTTATGTAAGTTGTAGCAAGGTCTTTATATTTTTGAGCTTTTTCAATCAATGTTAAAGGTTTTTCGGAGTTGTTCAAGAGGATAGGTGCAAAATGTTGTTTGTATAAGTTCTCTAAGAATCTTGGTAGGTACGAACAGCGTCACAATTGTAGTAAAGGCTGCCCCGCACTGGACCTCGCATGCGGGTTGCGAGTTTGCGGGCATAATACTAATTCATATAGTGATTAGACCGTTCCCTTATGGTAACTTCATGAATGCAGTAAAGCCAGTACACCTTCAGAAAATTACATATAGTCGCAATACCAGCGCAACGAACCAAACCTCGCAGAACTCGCAGACCTCGCAGTGAGGAAAATCGAAAGCTGGGCCCTGTTTCACCGGTGATAGCAGCACGCTGCTTTTACACGTGTCAAATTGGGTTTCCATGGAAACATCAACAGGCCCATTGCTCCAACACTACCATAAAACGGGGTGTTAAGGGACAGTTTTGAGGTGTTTTGTTAAATAACTCAAGAAGGGTTGGAGATAGAAGCATCAAATTGTCGGCATTTTATGTGGAATTTGGTGCTTTACATGCCTGCCACATTTAAGTTTTTAAGATTTATACCTGCATATTATTTTTTATTATTTTTCATCACTGTCCCTTAGCACCCCAATGTGGGGTGTTAAGGGACACCTATATTATTCCAAGAAATGGTCATCAAATGCCCACAATTGGGGTGTGGAAGGGCACACAATTTATTTGTTGAAATGTTTTGCATATTCTGTCACAAAACAAGTCAGGTTCATTAACCACTAATGACCTTTTTAGCCAATTACGTGTAATGCAGTTTACGCTTCTGGAAAATGTGCTAATTATAAGGTAAACAGAACCAAAAAGTACCCTTCTGTCATCAATAAAAACCCATGTTGAAGCTAGTCACTTGTCATTATGTTGCCCTCTTTGTTTTAGCCTTTTTATGATGACATCACATTTACCTACATCAGTTTCCATTGACCCATCATTGTAAAAGAGAGGGTTGAGATGTTTTGTTATGTAACTTAAGATGTGTTAGAGATAAAAGCATGAACTTGCCAGCATTTAAGTGGAATTTAGTGTTTTCCATGCCTAGTGATAGAAAACTTAGTGAATTATATTTATATATTATTTTTTATTTTTTCTTCCCTGTCCCTTAGCACCCCACATCCACCTCAAAATATGCATGTATCCGGAAAAGAGGAAGAGGATGGTGAATGAATGGGCGGATTTGCACAAGTTTTTCAGGAAACATGTGCAATACATGTGACAATACACCTATGCATTCATTTTCCCTGTACACCCACTAGTTTATGTGGTACACACAGAGTTTTGGAGATGTTTCAATTTTGTGAAAATGTAGCATGATTTTCAAATTCGTTTTTGAACCAACTCACTTGCATGAAAAAACATACCATTTTGTCCTATGGTCAAGAACAAAACAGTGTCAACTACCTCACTGAAGTTTTTATTGAACCTTCTCAAATTAGGAAGTTAATATGACTCAAAGTTTTTCCCATGCCACTGTCCCTTAGCACCCCACTGTCCCTTAACACCCCATTTTACGGTACCACAAGTGTGACGTCAGCTCGCACAATTTGATAGCAGCGTGGTAGCAGCGTCCCGTGAAACACCGCCCTGACTCAAAATCAACTTTTGGAATGCGATGCAAGTTGGCTCGCATGCTAAAAACATGCAGACTCGCTTGTTGCATGGTGGTATGGGTTACTCAACATGAGAGTGTAGGTACCTATTTAATTTGGAAGAAACCCGAAAACAGAGAACTCGCAACCTGCATGCGAGGTCTAGTGTGGGGCAGCCTTAAGGACCTAAACTTGACATATACCCCTTGTTCACTGTTGTGACATTTATGTACCTAATCTGATAGCTCAGAGTTGCAATTTTGCAAAAAAAAAGATGGTTGAATTATAAATATTTTGTATTTCAGACATTTCAATAATGAACAACAATAAGAATGTGCCATCATCAGCAATTGATGCAAAATATACTGTAAACTGGGGTGACTTTGTTTCACTTTTGACCATTATGGTACAATATCTTCTATAGGTATCACTTGATATTTTACTCTGGAAACTGTTTCATCATATCAATTGGACAATTCTCTATCTAACTGAGTACAGTAAATTTCTTAAAATTTTTCATAAATATTTTTTTTTTCTTAAAAAAATTGATCATTCTCACCCAGAGGTTGGGCTCACTATGATCACTACATTCAAATCACCTTATATGTGCCATAGGACCCATCAAAAGGGGCTTGTGTGATAAACTTACATGTTTTAATAAAATCAAAGGCTTTCCTTGACAAAAACTCACACATTTTACTGCAAAACTATGAATTATTGAGCTATTAAAATAAAGATGCATGCTTCTTGTCTAAACTCACATTACACAGTCATGGATGATATAACACTGGATTGGTGTCTCGTGGAAATTAACATTGGGATCCGCGACATTGGGATCAGGCCTGCCATCTAGCGAGAGAATTGTCGTAAGTTAGGAGCAAGCCGAGTGAACGCCATCTCTCAGCATTATGACACACGTGGGTGTGGTGTGTTAGTTGGCTTGAAGTGCATTTTCCCACGAGTTGGAGGTAATCTTACTGGACCTGAGACGACAAAAAATGTCTGAAATGCTTGTAAGCCAAAAACGTCAAGCAGCCTTTAGGTAATAACGAAAATAAAATGCGTAAGACTGTGTGTAATGAAGCGCCCAGTCCCATTGGCTTGTACGACCTTTTATATCGTCATTTACTCACAATGGTACAGCAGTTTGACAATATGTCACTTACATATTTGGTAGGCTTATTCCTTCTTCTCCGAATTTCGCCCTATTTTCTTCATCTAAGTTAATGTTACGGCACGTGCCACGTGCCAACTTAGGGGTGTCGAAATTGTTCCACATAAAGTAACTCCGCAATGGCTGGGCCAATTCCAGTAAAACTTCGTCAATAGTTAGGCATCCAGTGGCCAATGCATTTCCATGTGTCACTATGGGGGTGCTACTGCACGTGCGGCGCACGTGGGGGGGGGGGGGGTGCCGCTTCCATATCTCAAGAACGGCTGGGCGGATAACACTCAAACTTGGTACACAAATGTCACATCGATGCTCGCACTGCATTGATCAGTGCTTACATTGGTGCGGAGTCGTTAGGAAAACGATGAAATGAGATTCGTGGTGTTAATGCCTTTCTGTTCCAGCAGCTGATTGATTCGCAACAGGAGATCCTTGTTTGTGAAGGCTTCGTCTCCCTTTTCCACCCCTTGTTTAAAATAAGATTAACAATGTACGAAGAAGATCACACATCAAAGTTGTTTTAGGCGGCTATCTTGGGCCAGGACTGCGAAGTTGTTGTCAGAGCCAGCGGTTCTGTTCCGACTCGGAGTCGGTTAATTTTTAAAAGCTGTAGTCGGAGATGAGTCGAACGTCACCGAAAAGTCATCGACTCCACAGATTCACCAGGGCTGCAGAGTCGGAGTCAGAGTCGGAGTCTGTGTGAATCGACAGTTCTGCCCGGAGGAGTCGGAGTCGATATTTGGAATTGGATACCGGAATCGTAGTTGGAGCCAAAGTCACTGAAATTTCATCGACTACGCAGCACTGGTTGGGTCCTTTTCATATTGCGTCTTGAATGACATATTGAACGGCAATGACGTTAGCAATTCCGTTTAAGTTTTTCATTAGACTTATAGATAGTTACTTACGTTCGCTTTGTTCTTTGATCGGACAATTTGTTTGATTTAGGCCAAGTAAAGACTCATGTGAAAAATAGCGAAAACGACACGTGCTGGCGAAGTCTCCAATAACTCCCTGTTTCACGATTTAATGAGGAAATAACATGGAACTGCTTATCTTATTACTGACCCTGCACATAAATCTATTAATTTCTTCGCTGTTACTGACATATAAAGACATAACCTTTTGAAAAATTGCACAACAAGCCTGCTACTACACCACACTCCCGTGTGTCACAATGCTAATCAGCGGCGTTCACTCGGCTTGCTCCTAACTTACGATAATTCTCCCGCTAGATGGCAGGCCTGCGCTCAATGTCGCCAAAAACTGCGAAGACACCAATCCATTATTATCTCATCCATGACACAGTTATAAGCAGCCAAATTAGCTAATTTAACCTCTGACTTCAAGATTAAGTAACAGTCACAGATGTCCTAAGCCACAGGCTACCGGTCCTACATCACACTTTGTCTGCTGGTGGCTGTGGGAAGCAACACTGCTCATGCCCCTTCCAGTTGATTGTCTTTTTCACTTCTCATTGATGCTCCAATTACCACTGAGATAGAGCAGCTCAATGCTCATCCTCCATCCTCAAGTATCTACACCTTTGCTTTCTCTTTCTTTATCTGTGTCTTTCTCATCTTTACCATTATTATTGCTGGAGATGCTAGCGAATTTACTTTTCTCCGGTTCAGCTGTTGCCCTTTTCGCTGGCCAGAACCCATAAGTTGAAATATGGACTTGGAGCCATACCGCTTTTGAAAAAGAAAAAAGGATAATACGTACGCCATAGTCTCTGTCTCTGTCTCTGTCTCTGTCTCTGTCTCTGTCTCTGTCTCTGTCTCTCTCTGTCTCTCTGTTCTCTCTCTCTCTCTCTCTCTCTCTCTCTCTCTCTCTCTCTCTCTCTCTCTCTCTCTCTCTCTCTCTCTCTCTCTCTCTCTCTCTCTCTCTCTCTCTCTCTCTCTCTCTCTCTCTCTCCTCCCGCTGCTGCTGACACGGGCGGCGCGGCGCCGGCGCTCAGTGGATGACACCAGGTCGTGATTCTGCCGCAGGCGTCCGGGCCGCCGTCGCCATGGCTGCCGAGTTTGAGTTTGTGCCACCGCCCGAGGCGCCCGTGTTTCGGCCTACCGCTGACGAGTTCGCCGACCCGCTGACCTACATCAACAAGATCCGGCCGATCGCCGAGCAGACGGGCATCGCGCGCATCATCCCGCCCCCGGTCAGTGTCCGAGCGCGCCCAGCGACCCACCACCAGCAGTCGCCCCTTCAGTCCAGCAGGCTGGCGCACTTCAGCCCTTCATCTGAATAATTATTGGTTGATATTTTTTAAATGGGTGTAAGTTGCAGGCAAGTTTTTTATGGCGTTTTCCATATGTAGGTAATGAGCGAGTGGAGCAGGCGAGCGAGTTCATGTGTGGTTTAACGGAAAAATCTCTGTATGGCCACGTAAAAGACGAAAAGGTTTCCCATATCAAATTTGATAACATTTCTTTTTTGGCAAATCTGATCAAACTTTGATGAAATTTGTAAGAATTACAATAACCATTAATTACTGAGCGGATTGCGCTGAAATTTGGCATGTATAAGGCACCCACCGTGCGATGCATCCCCGTGTGCCTCGGATAGAGGCTTCTGCCTTTTATGTGCACCTGCACGGGTCGCTTCCAGATCTCGAGAACGGCTGCGCTAATGGCCGGACCGGTCACAGCTTCCAGATCTCGAGAACGGCTGCGCTAATGGCCGGACCGGTTACAGTCGTGTTTTTTAAAGCCTGTCTGATCGCTTTAAGTGCACAACTGAATAAGGCACGAGTCGAGCTATTGCAAGGAATGGAGAAACGAAAGTAAAATGAAGATAAAGGTACAATTTTCAGCTCGCCCAAAGCTGGCCAGTGTCAATGACATGGAGGCTTCACGTGGGCTTTTCATTAGAGTGGTTTAACGGTGGGCCTCCCGGCCACCTTCTGCGCGGTGGGGGGGGGGGGCATTTTTTTGCCCCCCCGTATCTCCGAAACTACTGGACGGGTCCGTAAAATTCAAACGGCGTTCGATAGCCCTGTCAAAGTTAATGGAGGGAGGTCAAATTTCATTGACCTCGGGGTCACCGATGACGTCACTGGTCAGGTCAAAGATAAAATGTTTCACCGTTCACAGGTCTTCTAGGGAATGGGCTATAACACCGATTCAAACGCATTTTGTCGAAAATCAGCGATAGGGCGTAGGTTGCCTAGTACATATGTTGCTATTAGAGGCCACTGATAATACCAGGTCAGGTCACAGCCAGGTCAGGTCACCAAGGGTCAGCACATGAACCCAACTTTACTAACCCGCGGCCGGCTGGGGGTCCTGGATTTTCACGCCATGCGGGAGGGTGTTTGAACACCCCCCTTCTAACTCGGCTCCTGGGCCACGTAGCGATACGCGGAAGGCGGCGTTCGAAAGAGCGCCAAAAATAATGACGAAATCACTTCGTTCACTTTTTTGGTCAGGTCAAAGGTCAGGTCACCAGAAGTCATTGAAGGCAAAATTTCGCCGATTTTCAGGTCGAATGTCGACAATTTCCAGGAAGCCAACGCATAACTCGGGAACTAATAGAGCTACAACGCCGCGGAAAAGTGCATTCGATAGCCCTATTAACGCCCTTTCTGAGTAGAGTAATTCTCTCAGATTTGACCTAATGTCAACGGTTTTGCCTGCAGGGGGCAAAAACTGCAAAAATAGCCGATTTTTTCGGAAACAGTTTTTCTGCAATAACTTTTGACCCAACCCTTGTAGGAGCTTACTTTTACCGGCATCGTGTTCCTCTCGTCAAGACGCATCGAATGAACTATAACTTGACCTTGAAAGGTCAACTTGAAAATTTGACCTCAGGTCAAGGTCATGACCTGACCGGAAAGGATCATGTTGCATATCAGTCGATCCGTATCGTCAAGATGAACAAATCTAAGGCGTTTTCACCGCTCTGGCATGCCTCTATCAAAAGTTATTTGCGAAAAACTGTTAGACACCATTCGTGACCTGAGATGACCTCAGGGGCATAAATTCTCGCGGATAAGTCACGGACTTCATTTTTTAATGTTCAATGTGTCTAAACCACTTGTAATTCAGTGTTTGGGAGTGTTTATAATGTCTTTCGTCCAAAAGAGGCGCATTTCAATTTTCTCCCATTGACTTATAATGGGGAGGTCGCAAAATTGACCTGACCTTAGGTCACCGATATCAAAATTCCGAGATAAACATTTTATAGATACTGTTACCCTCATCAATCGCTGAAAGTTTCAAAGCGGTCGGTCACTCGGTGTAGCTATGGCAGACATTGAAACTTTTTGTGAGGTGAGGTCACTTCAAGTGACCCGGTGACCTGACCTTGAATGACTTTGGTCTGAAATTTTTCTGGGGTGTTCAAACACCCCCCAACAGGGCGCGGGCTAAGGTTGTGCGATGCGTGTTTTTTGGCCAATTTTTCATTTCCAACTCAATGGTGTTGGTTATAAGACCATCAGGTACGGTTTAGGTCACTTTCTGGTGGAGGTCAGGTCAAGGTCAGGTCAAAGAAGATCAAATTTTAATGTTGATAGTTTTGCATAAAATGGGTATTTATTCGATGCAGCTCGTCACGGGGAGTCTAATGGTGGTCTTTGTTTTGCGCGACGAGGTCTAGAATTGCTAACAGTTGAGTTTGAAAATTTGACGTCAATTTTGAGGAGTTTTTTCACTATAACTTGAAAAAACAGGTATCGATCTTAAATTCGGTATACCTATGGATAGAAGGCGGTAGGGACTATCACATATATTCCGGTTTTTTCGAAAAAAAAAGTTTTGGATTTTTCGTCTATTATATTCAAAAAATGTATTTTTTAATTTTTTTTTGGTCAAAAGCCAAAAATTTAAAAAGATTTGAGGCATTAGTTTTGTAGTCCTGTTAATTCTACACCTTTTATGTCTGAAACATTTTTTTTTTCTGGATCTCTAAAGCTGTAGGCCTGACAGCTCTTCCCGCGAAACTTTTTTATGGTCGAAAATGGCAGAAATGACGGCACTCCAACGTCATTAGCGGCCAACCTATAATAGCCTTCGGAAACTTTTTTGGTCATAATGTGCAAAAGCTATTCACGGGAGGGTACTGAAAGTTTGGTGACGATTGCGCAGTGGTTCTGGAGATATATGGAAAAAAAACTAAGGGGGGGGGGCGCAAAAAATTCCCCTCACTGCCTGGAAGGTTATGATGGCGCAGGGGGCATTTTTTTTGCCCGCCCCTTTAGTTTTTTTTTCGATATATCTCGTGAACCGCTGCGCCGATCGTCACCAACCTTTCAGTACCCTCCCGTGAATAGCTTTTACACATTTTGACAATTTTTTTTTCCCAAAGACTATGATAGGTTGGCCGCTAATGACGTCGGAGTGACGTCATTTCTGCCATTTTTGACAAAAAAAGGTTTTGCGGGAAGAGCTCTCAGGCCCACAGCTTTAGAGATAGGTACATAAAAATTTTCTTGACATGAACGGTGTATAATTAAGAGGGCTATAAAATAGCTATCTCAGATTTTTTATTTGTTTTTTTTTACCCCCATTTTTTTTTTATAAATATAATAGCCGAAAAATCCATTTTTTATTTCGAAAAAATTGGAATACATGTGATAGTCCCTACCACCTTCTATCCACATACCAAATTTGAGATCGATACCTCTTTTTGGCCAAGTTATAGGGAAAAAACATCAAAATTGATGACGTCAAATTTTCAAACTCTTCTTAGCAATTCTAGACCACGTATCGCAAAACAAAGACCACCATTAGACTCCCCGTGACGAGCTGCATCAAATCAATGCCCATTTTATGCAGACCTATCAACTTTGAAATTTGACCTTTTTTGACCTGACCTTGACCTGACCTCCACCAGAAAGTGACCTAACCGTACCTACTACCTGATAATCTTATAACCAACACCATTGAGTTGCAAATGGAAAAATGGCCATAAAACATGCATCGCACAACCCTAGTAAAGTTGGGTTCATGTGCTGACCCTTGGTGACCTGACCTATGACCTGACCTGGTATTATCAGTGACCTCTAATAGCAACATATGTACTAGACAACTGATGCCCTATCGCTGATTTTCGACAAAATGCGTTTTACTCGATATTATAGCGCATTCCCTAGAAGACCCGTGAACGGTGAAACATTTTCTTTGGCCTTGCCTGTGACGTCATCAGTGACTCTGAGGTCAATGAAATTTGGTTTCTTTTGACAAATTTGACAGGGCTATTGCACGCTGTTTGAATTTCATGGATTCGTCCAATAGTTTCGGAGATACGGGGGGGGGGAGGAGGGGAAAAATGCCCCCCTCCACCGCGCGGAAGGTGGCCGGGGGGCCCACCGCCTGCCGGGTTAAACGATTAGACAAGGTTAACAAAATCGGACTATAGTAGGGTACCGCACGCGAGCCAGCCAAAAGTACCCCCATTACACTTCGGCACGTGCAGGGCTCCCTCTCGTGCTCGCTCGTTTCTGGTCCCAAAAGACGTCCTAGGTACTGTTTGAGCACCATGACTGTTTTTCAGGATTGGCAGCCGCCATTCGCGGTGGATGTGGACAACCTGAAATTCACACCCCGGATCCAGCGACTCAATGAGCTGGAGGTAAGTAGTCGCCGCCATCAATCATCATTGGATCAGATAGTTACGAAAATAACTGGTCAGGGGTGGCTCTTTACGGCCCTGATTCCAAATATCAGCTCTAAATTGGCCTTAAGTCAACAATGTAGCTGCTGACGCACGGTAACGCACGGTGTTCAGCGACATTCCAAGCCCTGTTTCTCCGAAAGGAGATGAGTCCTTTGAAATCGGTCAACGGTGTTTTGAAGAAATTTCAGCGGTGCATAGTACAGGGTGTCCCATGTGTTCGTTTTCACCTAAGTTTTATGTTTAGTCGTTCTCTTGCTTTACGACACGTTCAACGGAATTATTAGATTAGCTTATGTGGTTGCCATGGCAGCTGGCAATATGCTCTATATTTTTTTCTATAGACAAATCGTTTTTTGCTAGAGACTCCAGTTTTTGTAGAGACGTCTGACGCCGCAACATGGGGGTCTCCGATACGGGTACGTCTCAGTATTTAGTCAGCCCATGGGCCATTCGGGATGGTTGAAGGTGGTCGTAGCCGGCCAGTCTGTAGCCAGTGTCTGTCGCTAACTGGGTGATCAACTGATCAGTCACCGAGTGATGCCGATGATTTGTCGGCGGTTCAATCACTGCAAGTTCATCCTCTTTCCAGTCGACCCTCAAGAGTGAGCCAAGTGGCCAAAACTGTGTGGCGCCAAAGCAGCCGTCAAAAAGGTGAAAGGCTTAGGAAGCTAATAACCAGGCTCTACATGATGGATTACCAGCTATCTAAGAGCATTCTTTCGGGATACATAACTAAAGGTGACTTAAGCTCAAGACTTAACGGAGGGCTCAAAACAGTCGAGATTGCCTTAAAATGGCCAAAAAAATGAGTTTCGTAATGCCTGAGTCTCAAAAACTGAATCGCTGAGGTCACGAGTTTTTTGGCTAACCGGGGACAAGATGTTCGAGATGAAACACTTCTAAAAAACGGTCTAATAACGGCGAAGGAGTAGACCTCCGTTTCACCCCGCTTGGTTCCTGTGCCAATGGTCAGGGCCACGGTGTTGTGGGGTTATAGGCGCCCAGGTGCTGCCTCAAGTTGCACGAGGTACCCCAATCACATTTTTTATGCAGACTGGTTCACCACGAAGATGTACGAGAGGTCTCTACTTTCTAGCTTTACTCGAAGGCCAGTGTGGACTCAGTTTTGGAGGAGAAAATGTTATCAGGGAAGTCGTAGGCACATCTTCAAGCCAGACAGTACATCGGCGCAGAGGTCAAGAAAAGCTCAAAAGTGGTGCCATGAGACTGTGACAGGAGTCTATTGCAGGACCACATCTCAGGCAACTCATCGGATCCAAATTCCATAAAAAATAAATTGGGAATGCGGACATCGGAGCTCGTCGAAGCGAAACCCTGTTCCAGCCTCTAGGAGCTCACGGCGCATGCCATGTCAGCTTTGGCTAAGTTTCAAGCCTGCTGCGCTGCGAAACACGGCGACTGGCATGCCAGATCGCGTATCCAAGATCTCAGAAATTTACCGGCCAATTTTCAAAATTCAAACGGCGTTCGATAGCCCCACCGGGGTTACCTTGTGACCAAATTTCTTTGACCTAGGTCAAACCGATGACGTCACAGGTCAGGTCAAAGGTCGGATTTTCACCGTTCACAGGCATTTCTGTTGTGAAATCGAGTAAATTGTTAAGTTATTGAAAATCATCGATGGTGCATTGTTCGTCAATCACATCCTTTGCTCTCTGAGGTCACTGATACCAGGGCCTCGTTTCATAAAACTCTGCCGTAACTTACACCTTTCCGTAATTCACACCGTTTCAAACTACGGAGCGCAAATGAAGCCGTTTCACAAAGCCACAACTGGAATTGTTTACACCTCCGTAGCTAAGCACATTTGCGTAGTTACCGTAATTTATCAAGCGTCCTACAAATTACAATTTAATGTCAACACTTATTTTTTTACGAGAAATTATAAAACAATTATGTTGAATTTAAATCTTAAAAATTATTTATGAAAAAACAAAATTGATATTGATGACCATCCTTTATTAAATCAATATATTGAAAACAGCAGAAAGCCAGCTAAGCAGAAGTGCCTAACTACGAAAGTGGCGCGGCGCGGCGAATAAACAAAATTCCGATAGTGGCCACAAAAAGCGACTGGTACAGAAGATTTGCAGATTCTTTTTCTCATTTTGGCTGTTCTTTCTTCCTCACCGGGCTCAACATTATAAAATATATTAAAAAATAGCTTCGAATCTTCACATTAATTCAATTTCACGCAACATTTTTTTGCGTAGTTTACACCACTGATATCAAGAACTTGATAAGATATTTGGCGTTAATTACGTCGTTTTATGAAACCCAAATGGCATCAATTGGTCCGGAATCGAGCATTTGCCGTAAATGAAGCTCCGTAATTTCGATGGCGTGAATTACTCCGGTCTCCGGCTTTATGAAACCGAATTGGCATCAAATACGCCAAATCTGGCATAATTGACGGAACGCCGTAAGTAATTCCTTTTATGAAACGAGGCCCAGGTCAGGTCACAGAGGTCAGGTCACTGGGAGTCACAATATGAGAGTGTCGTGTGGTACATGTTTTTTAGTTCATTTTACATGACAAATGCGATTATGTGGGTCAGGCAGCCTTTTGGGCCAGCTTGGGTTATGCTCTGTTGAAGGTCAGGTCAAGGTCAGGTCAAATTAGGTAGAGTTTCATAGTTGATATTTTTGCATAAAATGGGTATCGATTCGATGCACCCCGTCACGGGGAGTGAAGTGATGGTCTTTGCTTTGCCCTACGTGGTCTAGAATTGCCAAAAATTGAGTTTGAAAATTTGACTTCATCACTTTTGAAGTTTTTTTTTCGCTATAACTTGGCCAAAAAAAAAGAGGTATCGATCTGAAACTTGGTATATAGATAGAAGACGGTAGGTTATATCAATTGTATGCCGTTTTTTAAACTCAAAAAACTTTTTGGATTTTTGGGGTAATGTATCCAAAAAATTAAGTTGTATGATTTTTGGGGGTCAAAATTCAAAAAATTGAAAAAAACGAGGCAGCATTTTTGTAGCCCTGTCAATTCTACACCTTTTATGTTTTTATCATTTTTCTGTATCTTCAAAGCTGTAGGCCTGACAGCTTTTCTCGCGAAGCTCTTTTTCGGTCGAAAATGGCAGAACATGACGTTATTCTGACGTCATTTATGGCCAACCTATCATAGTCTCTGGATTTTTTTGGTCACAATGTGTAAAATTGATGCCCGGAGGGGTCGGTGGCGATATCTGCAGCAGTTTAGGAGATATCGACTGAAAAGGACGGGGGGGGGGGGGGGCTACGGGGCGCGGGTTAATTTGAAGTAAAAAAGGTGTAGTTCGATCAGGTGCCGAACAGCGGGCGCGCCTTCTGCCGTCAGGCACATACACGCGTGAAGCTCAACTTCCTGGACCAGATCGCCAAGTTCTGGGAGCTGCAGGGCTCTTCGCTGCGCATCCCGCTGGTCGAGGGCAAGGCGCTCGATCTGCACGCACTGCACTGCGAGGTGCAGAAAGAAGGTGAGCACCTACTTCACCCTGTGCGCGCGTGTGTGCGTTTGCGTGTGCGTGTGCGAGGGTGGCATTTATTTTCACATTCGCACATTTTCTGCAAAAATTAGGTCCTAGGACACCTTAGGCCATATCAGATCATCAATCTAAAGACTCCAAATCGAACCGTAAGCATAAAAAACATGGCAAAGAAAAACTCGCGAGGTTTCCAAAATATGAAAATCTCAAGATCATGAAATTTGAAGCTAAAAATTGAGATTTTTAAAGACATTTTGATCGTTTTTGGGGAAAACAGACCCTACAGGGTGATCAATAAATAGGCAATAACATAAAGTTGGCCTCCATGGGAAGCACATAATATAAATTTGAAGACCTAAACAACACACTGGTAGAATGACAATTCTTGGACATTTGACATAACACAAACAGAAGTCAGTAGTGACACTTCGTTTGCCTACAGGAGGTGCTAGAAGTGCCCCCTTCCCCCTGCTCCGCGCGGCAGAGCTCGGCCTTGACTCGCTCCGTGCGCCTTCTTGCATGGAATTCTTGATTCTTCGGTGACCAGAGATCATTCCTGTGGGAAGCTTGCTGTAGCTCAAAACACTTCTCGTCACTCCAGATCACCTGTTCGAGCCATTCTTTGGCATAAGCTGAGCCAGGAGGTGCATGCTTCCAACCTCAACACCAGGCTGTCAGCGGAGAGGACGGTCATTGGGACTGGACGGTATGGTTTTTCATTTGTTTGCTGCCGATAATTGTCCAATGTCCATACATTCCAAAAGTGCCCTCCCAGGTTTTCTGAAGCCTTGCTACCGTGGATATTGGGCTAATTTTTTAAGAATAGGCTCTACACTTAATAAGAACTCGTGCTGGGCACGAACCCAGCACCCCCGACATCCTACAGTCCGGAGCTTTTTTGTCTACATAGACTTCAGCTTCCGGCCCCAAGCAGCTTAAGAAGTTTCGGAGCGAACTCAAGACCCTCAATGAACTGAAGGGTGTCGTGAGTCCTCGAAAGCTTCGCCCATATGGGATGGTCAGCGACCATCTGAGTCGCATGGTGCGGCACACCCGGCACCGGGCCGAGCTCTGCTGCGCGGAGAGGGGAGGACACTTTGAGTACGTCCCATGGACAAACGAAGTGTCACAACTGAATTCCGTTTGTGTTACGTCAAATGCTCAATAAATGTCAATCTAGCAGTGTATTGTTAATGCGTTAAAATTTATATGATTTGCTCCCCACCGGGATTCTTTACGTCTTTACGTCATTCTTAATTGATCACCATGTACACTAGGGATGACCGAGATTTTCGAATTTGCAATTTCAGTTCGGCTCACCTTTTTTCCTATGTAAAATTGAATTTTAAGGTGGGATGTCCTTTTGCAATTTTTTGATAAAAACACTCCTTTCGTAGTAAATTTGCACATTTGTATTTAACCCTCGCCGGACCTATTGGTTTTCTATACGCGCCCCGGCCGAGAATGAGAGGTTGGTACGACCCCCCTCGCCGTTTCGCCCCTAATTGAGCAAGAGCCTTGAGGAAAGAACGAGCGTGTACGCCGTTACGAGACGCAGCGATTGGTACCCGATTTTAAGGCCTGGGATTATCTGGTGACCTCTGAGGTCAGGTCAAGTGGCGCAAGACCGGTTCGGTTTTTGGTGAATAACTTCGCTCAAAATGGTCGCAGAGCCGCGATTTTGTCAGCATCGTGTTTTGCTATATCAGGCGCGTCGAATGGTATACTTTTTGTTCGGGTGAGAGTAAGTTACGGTGTTGACCTCGGGTCAAGGTCAGGTCAGGTCCCCTCAGGCCACGACCTTGATCAAAAGAGGTAATGTTGCATATCATTCGATTCGGCAGGTCTTCCTGAGTCCATTCGTGACTTTTGCGACTCGCTAACTCAATTTGATCGGGAGTTATTGACGAAAAACTCATATCACCTTAGGTATTTGATACACCCTTTATTTGGCTCATCACAAAACAGGATGGGATGAGGGCAAGTGGTGATATTACGTAGTTTGTTCAGCATTTGCATAACCTTTTCCTCTCAGTTTGTTTCGCCCTTCCTACAGCAACTTCTTCGACTCTTCTCCCAAAGCTTCTCCTGTTTCACCGTGAGACTCTTCTCCTAGATGATCACTGGACTGGAGGGCTGAATCTTGCATTGGATTTCAGTCACTGCGCCAGGATAAGCGGAACCAGCTCCTTCACGATGTCTCTCACACCAATCTTCTTTCTCGCTCTTTCTTTTTCGATCATCAGCTGTTCCTGAATCAAAACTCCTCTTTGCAACACAGCCCTTACGGCTGGTACCTACCTACTTCATTCTGGATGCCGCCAGATGCCTTCCTGATGGTTCGTTTGACCTAAGCATCCATCTACGTTTAGCTTTTGGCTATCTGCTTGAATTATGGGCCCTGATGGAATATAAAAAGGCATCAGAAGTCGCGGAACTCTAATCACTGGACTCGGATGAATGGAAACCGCCAAATCGCTAAAGTTACTGATCCCATTGACATGTTTAATGTTTAATTCTTAGTACCCATCTACGCTGGAGTACGAAAAACATCATCTCACGTTCTCACACTTAATGTTTAATTGTTCAGCTATATTCCTTCAGTGCACTTCGATGGTGATTAATTGATTTGAATGATCTGCATCAGCTGAGAAGTCAATTGCATATTTTGATCAGTATTTTGATAGAGTTCTTTCAACAGATTTGGGTACTAACCTTAACACCAGCATTGACATGTGCCTTTTCACGCCTTTTCACTATATGCTACTATATAGTAGGAAAAGTTATTCAAGGGCATAGTTATTAGCTTGCATCCAACGAATTGATATCGCTTATATATAGCTACCTGTAACGATATGTGTGAACAGCCAATCAGTGCCATTGTATTGTTCCTGCCGAGGGAGAGGCTTTAGTTGCCAATGCCTCTGGCAAGATTCAGCAATTCTGGAAGAGTTTAAATTGATCTGAAGAGCAGCTTCACCTGTTTCGTAGGTAATAGGTTTTGCAGCCACCGGTATTCCATCCAACCTGATTCTTTAGACTCGTACGCCGTATGATGAGGTTTCGAAGCAAAAGACCATTCATCGATAAGAAAGAGGAGGTACGGAACTGATGTTGCAAATATACCACTGACATCTGACATGATCTGGAAACAGCTCCCATAAAACTGCGTTTTTACTACGGAAGATGTATCCTGAGGCCAGTTTTACCAAAAAATACCAGCCGGCCGCCGAAATAAAATATCCAGCCGAAAAAATAGCCGCCACACAGCCACGAGTTTCACCAACAAAAAAATTCCAGCCAACATCGGCCGGAAATATTTGTCGCCGGCAGTCAGCTGATATTTTAATATCGATAATGGTCAATGAGATTGATAAATTATTTAAAACATGTTTCAAATAAAGTTAAGCGTGTTTTTTAAAGCAAATACAACAAAGATTGAGAAATATTATTATTGGAAAACATAACATATATTTTCAAGAGTTGTAACCACAAAATAGACCATAATAAAACTTGCCAATACAAGACCACCAAATTGTAAACCTACGTCATTTATGACGGTCACGATAGGAAGCGTGCGTTTTAGTGGATCTTTTTTTCCTGTCAGCCTATTATTTTTCATTTTTACAATACCTTCAACTTGCAATTAACCTTTTTGTCTGCCTTTAGTTGCACCTTGTAGAAAATAATCGTGTCGAACGTGCACGCAATGTATGGACCCCCACTCCCACCTTTTATGAGGTGGGGACTATAATAGATGGGACCCGCTCCCGACGCGGGAGTCGCACCTCTTTCCTAGATGTCAAAAGAGTGGGGAAGAAGCGGCAAACATTGTTCCCAGAGGCGCCACCTGAAGCTGGACGGACAGTTCCGCTGCCGAGCGAGTGAACTGCGGTGCTGCGAGGCGGCTTCGCGCGCGCCGCGCAATGCTCAGGGGCGGATCCAAGGGGGGGTCACATGGGTCATGGCCCCCCCCCCCCTTGAGGCCCGGGGGCCCAAAGACCTGCCAGGGGCACCACCGGCCTATCAGGGGTATCACAGTCCTGACAGGGGCACCACAGGACCGCCAGGGGCACCACAGGCCTAGCAGGGACACCACGGGCCTGGTGCCCCTGGGCCCTGACAGGACTGTAACGCCCCTGACAAGCCTGAAGTGTCCCCGGCAGGCACGTGGTGCCCCTGACAGGCCTGAGGCGCCCCTGCAAGGCCGGTGGTGCCCCTGGCAGGCCTGTGGTGTCCATGGCAGGCCTGTGGTGCCCTTGCTAGGCCTCTGGTGCCCCTGACAGGCTTGTAATGCCCCTGGAAGGACTGTGGTGCCCCTGGGCCCTGACAAGCATGAGGTGCCCCTGACAGGCCAGTGGTGCCCTTGCTAGGCCTGTGGTGCCCCTGACAGGCCCAAGGTGCCCCTGCGAGGCCGGTGGTGCCCCTGGCAGACCTCTGGTGCCCCTGGCAGGTCTGTGGTGCCCCTGGCAGGTCTGTGGCGCCCCTGGCAGACCTGTGTTGACTGGTGCCCCTGCTAGGTCGCTGTTGCCCCTCACAGGCCTGCGGTGCCCCTGGAAGGACTGTGGTGCCCCTGCCCCTAGGGGTGCTCATGGGCCCAACAGGCCCGTTGTGCCCCTGACAGGCCTGTCGTGTATACTTGCTAGACCTGTGGTGCCCCTGGCGGGCCTGTGGCGCCCCTACAAGGCCGTAGGTGCCCCTGACAGGTTTGTGGTGTCCCTGGAAGGACTTTGGTGCCCCTGACAAGCCTGAAGTGTCAAGGACAGACCCTTTAGACGCCAGGGTCAAGTTCGTCGGACTGACAACGATTTGCTTACCTGATAACGTTCCTGGTAAGTACTCACTACTCAGCGTCCACAACATATATGTATACACATAGCACATTCATATATACTTGCTTACAATTGGTAAGTGTGGTTGTGGCTAAGAGTTAAGATACTGACTAAAAATAAAAAATAAAAAGAAAAAAAACTGAAAATGGGGGCACCACC